CCCTCCCACTCCCTTCACTCCACCGTTAAAAGAGAGGATATTTACCACTGCACGTCATATAGTCTGAGTCCAGGTTGTAGCCCGCATCACAGGAGCAAGTGTAACTCCCCGCATTGTTGTGACAGTTTTGTGAACATCGGTGTCTATTTGTGCTACATTCATCAATATCTGGAACGACAAAATGAATTAGGTGAAGAAATAATGGATATAATTTATTAATACAGATTTGACAATGGAATGAAATCCTATTGTCATCTTAAAAGCGTTCCCACAGGGTCGCTTACTTTCTGATTTCATGGAGAAAATAAAACCCCTAAATAAAACGATCTTTAGATGAAAAATCAGAGGCCCATTTGAGACGGTCAGCAACATTTCCTCAAGAATTTCAGCGGCATCAAGCTCGTGGTCTTGCTAGGGACTAGTTACTATTCCAATGGAAATGTTGTTATTTTAAACAATTACCAGTGCATGTTTGATTGTCTTCTTTGAGTTGATAACCCTTGTGACACGAACACTTTGGCTGTCCTTGTTCCTCCACGCAAACCTGCTGGCAGCCTGCTTTCGAAACATTACAGCTTGCCATTGCTGGGAAGCAAAAAAATTCAGAGTAAGTTATACAAGATCCTAGCTTTATTCAAATGGAACCAGAAATCAGAAACTAAGACATTTTTTCAAGTTTTCTTTATATGATTGGTGTTCATCTTTATAGATTAAGAGGAAGGTATATACGAGTCAAATCGACTGTATTCAGTGGACCAAAACACATGTGTGGTACTTACGTATACACGCTGTATTATCAGCCTGGTCGATCTGGAATCCCTCGAAGCAAGAGCAGTTCCGCCCACCGGGATAGTTAGTACATCGCTGCATACAGTCATTGGCTTCCATGCACTCATTGATATCTGATGGAATGATAATATTTTTTATCTTATATAAATGTCTCTTGAGCCTGGGCGATAGCAACCTCGACGGTACATTATTTGTTATAGTTAGTTGCCAATTTAAAGCTTTGTTTTGTTGAGGGAGATGAAGCTGTCAAAATTAGCCCTATATGGCATGTCCAGATGCAGGAATACAGAGTTTCGATTGCACAACTGAGCATTAACAAATAAGGTACTAAAATCGAGCGATTGATCAAAAACCGAGGTTCCCCCACTGACGTCACGTACCATTACAACTAACGCCGTCTTTGTCAAGTGTATATCCTGGATAGCATTTGCACACATATGAACCCGGAATATTAATGCATGATTGGCTGCACCTGCTCACTTGATCCACACACTCGTCATTATCTGTTGAGGGAAACAAAAAGTGTCGGGTTGAGGACTGAAAGTGCTTTTCGGTCTCAAAGAAGAAGGCCGTATTTTTATGATGACTGCAGTACCAATTTTGGTGCAATTTTTAGAAAGTTACAAACTGACAACGGAATTATTCACTAGTAGATAAGCACACGATCTCGAGTGTTTGTTAATTATAATTTTACTCTTCGTGGCGAGTAGAAAATAATTCCGATCATCCTGTTTTCGTCTTAAATATTTTTGGCATCGAATAGCATGATCTAGGTGTATGAGGAATGCGATCTTTATGTATTCAAAACGAACGGTTTCACAAAAATATTGTATTAAGGAAATGAAAGTTAATCTTCGTTTTTAGAGGTATTTCCGCGACAACACATGTTAAGAGCCAGTTAAGAATATTTCTTTAAACGTACCGATGCAGTAAGCTCCATCACCATGGTAACCGCTTGGACATGGACCACACGTGTATCCATTTTTATCGATAGATAACGGAACATTAGTGCAGACAACTCCAGGAAAACAGGGATCATTGAACTCTACGCAAGCGTCAACATCACTTTCACAAAACTTTCCTGTGAGTCCTGCGGGACAGGCGCATGATAAAACGATGAATCTTACACCGCTGTCCAGCTGCCGCTGAACATCGTCGTCCTCCACACAATTGCCGCCATTTTGGCACGGGCAAAGTCGAATCAGAGGGCGGAGCTCTGATGACGAGTTACTGCTGTCAGTAACGATAAACACAGGCTCTACCTGTCCATGATGAAAAAAGAAAAATTAGATAGGCTATCGAACCATGAACTAATTGTTTTTTCTTAGTGTGGTGTTCCATTTAGAAGAGGAACGAGTTTACATAAAACCACTAGATTACGCGCAAGTTTGATTTTTAGAACACTACATACCTTCTTTACGGATGTAGGCCGCCATCGAACGACCAGACCCAGCGAGGTATTCGAGACGACTTCCATGTCTGGGAAAAATTTGACGGTAAACACAAACGAGTCGCTGATGTTGTGGCGAGCTGTGATGTTCAACTCAACTGTTTCGTTCAGAGTAGCGTTTATAACTTGTGGTCCTTCAATTTGTGGTGGGAAAGTTTCTGTGATGAAATCACGAGAGAATTGTCAAAAGCAAGTCTTGTCAAAGTCTTAATCGAGCAAGAGCAAGGCAGTTTTTCAGGTGGGAAAATAAACAAAATATCATAACGACTAAACTTTGAAACTAAGAGCAGGAGTTCTTGCAAAATCTTGACTGTATGGAAATATGTCCCACCTAGGCTGACGCACTCTTCATCAAATGCATGAGGCCAATCTTTTGTAAAGACTGGTCGTTCCGAAATGGTGCACTACTTACCCAGCCTGTTGTTTACTAGAATATTATTTTCCTCCAGCTTTTTTGTTGACATTCCAAAAGAACAGTTAACAGTCACGGCTGCATCAAATAAACATAGGGTATTGTTGCCACAGACATTCTCTGCCTGTCGTCTGAAGGAATCATTTGTCCATGTGATGTTGTCAATGAACATTGGCACGTAGCTGAGATCTATGAAGGTCGCAGGGCTTTCGTGAGCTTGGTATGAAAACAGCGATTGGGAGGCGTTTATTTGCCCTGCAAGATGGAATTCATGAAAATAATAATCAGACATTATCCGGCAAACAGGTGATGTGAATAAACAATTTATAAGTTATGTTCTTTCAGTTCCTCTTGACCAATATGGAAGGAGATGAGGCTGGTAATTAAATCAAGGCAGTTTAAGTGTATAAGGTTCTGTAACACCAAGCAAGTTCTTCTGGCAACTTGGTGTCAAGGCTATGTTTTGTTGGTTAATGTGAGACATAAAAAACGTCAATCCATACTCTTCTCAATCGTAGGACAAATTGCATACAAGGATTCTAACTTTAGAACGATGACCGGGGTCCGATCTTGTAACAAACAGAAACTATCTAATAGCCAATCCCCTCCTCCCTGTTATTTGTCATGCGATCTTATCATGGTGTGACGCATAACTTTTTTCGCAGGGGCGGAAAGAACACAGAAATAGCTACCATTGGAGTTGATTTTCTCCATTTTAACGCGAATTTCCTGGAAACTACATACAAAATTTACTAAGTTGAACTGTGCGCGTCGTTGCACCGTATTTTAAATTTATCCTGGAGAACTTACATTTTAACCCGAAGTCGTAGTGTATTTGTTGGGGTGTCGCATCAGCTGATAGCACTGTGCCGTAAGGAGTCGTGAAATCATCTGAAGGATCATCATTCCACGTCCCCAAGAGTCCCTTAGTGCGGTTCACAAACCTGACCGGCCCATTGAATGTGGTGGCTAAGGCGTCCGAAACCTGGGAGAAGGTGATTGAGATCCCGGATGGAAAGACAGCTGAGACTGAGTCAGAAGTCCCTCTGATCAGCGTAATATTTGAGTCTTGAATCAGCGTTCCAAACTCTGAAATAGCTTGGATATTTTGCTGGTTTCCTGCCGCGAAAACCTCAAGGTCACCTGAAATAGGCATAAAACGATAACTCAAATCAAAGTACAAATGAATTTGGACATAAATACAGCAAACATAAACCATGTCGATCATTTACTCTTCCCAACACTTTTTGACATTTGTTTTGATAACCTATGGTCTGGTTATTCCTCATTAGTTTTCAGCTTAAGCTCATTCATTTTTTTTTTTTGAAGGGAAAGCCTATTGTATTAATAATGTTGACTTGCTATAGAAATGTTCTTCATATTTGGAAGTTACATAAACGGGTTTGTGTGTGGCTAATTTGTTTCCTTTTACTAAAGTATGTTAAAAATAAACTTAGCTGGATACCCATTGCGGCACGACCAGCAACAGCAAGCAAAAAGCAATTCACAGTGGACAGAACTGATGGATCGAAACTGGCCGATCACAATGATATATGCTCCTTGAAGCTTACAGCCAATGGTCTCACAGCAAAGTTGGCCAATCAGATCTCACCAACCAGACTTACAACACTCGTTTGACGAACAACTCTTTAAGTAAAATATGATAACGGCTTCCGCTCAAGCTGTTGAAATAGCAGTCCCTTTACAGGATTAACCTTTGCAAATGATCAGACTACAAGACTAAAAGCAATACAAATCAGATTACCTTGGCTATTTATTCGCCCTTCTACTACAGCCGTGTTGGCTTCCTTAGCAGCTGCTGCTGAAAACACTGTTCCCAATCCCCTACCGCTGGTCTTCTTGGTGCGTGCCTGCAGCTCAAATCCCACGTTGTCAATGGTAATCATCGTATACTCACCAAGGCCATTGAATGTGTAGATTTTGTTATCCAGAGTGACAAAATGAGGATCTCCCCATATAAGGGCTGTGGAGATATATAGAGAACACAACAAATGTATATACCATGTGGTTTGTTTTTTTTACCAGCCAAGAGTCCATCATGAAACTGCAAATAACTTCTTGATCTGGTAGATAAATTGTTAGCACTTTAGGCTTCACGACGTCATAATCTACTTCAGTATCTACGCCAAGAGATGAAAAGTCTCATTGTCCAACCAAATTGCTTGTGCTTACCTGATATTCGATGAATCCATCATTATGAAGTTTTAGTTTTCGGCAGTGAAAATTTGCAATGTAGTATGAGTGGAACCGGAATGCGTTCTTGCAAAGGACAATATAAAAGGCTCACCTTCTCGCCTGCTGCTGTAACGGGAACAAGTATCTGAGGGTCGCAACTCATAGTATCGAGCGCACAGGGACGCATCACAGCAGTATCCGTGCGCTTCTAAGTCTGTGATGATCGGAAGGCCGGGTATCCCAATTAAAAACGGAGTGCCCCCCTCTGTTGGCCCGATGGTAAGAACGTATCCACTTCCAGGGATTTCCGTGTAGCAGCACTGTTGTGCCCAGCGGCTTGTTGGACTAGGCACCGAGTATGCACACGTCGTCAGGTTGCTACGACCTGCGATCTTTTGGTTGTAATCCACGTAAAAGTTTTTATCTGCTACAGCTTGGTCCAATGTGCATGGACATGGCCGTACCGCAGGCACTTGGATATTCGCCTGCTGCTGGATCCATGTATAACATTTCTTGGCTGGCAAGTCTAGGACAGGATTCACATCCAAACGGAAAAACCATACTCCCCTTTGGTTTGTATTTCCAAGGCGCTCATCTACCATGTCAGCTTCCACAGTACCTGACCTGATGTCATCAGAAAAACACCATCAAAGTTCATTTCTTTTAATTGATTGATTGATTGATTGATTGAAACCCTTACTGGCTGACTGACCAAAGCACGGAAGTGGGGACGTACAAACGGACGTGCGGGCATCCTGCGGGTTCGAAACACTTCAGGAAGCACTGATCTTTTTATTGCTCAAACTTCGGAAAGTGCTTCTCACCTACGTTTATATGACTTTGTACTTTTTCATATCTAAATTTCTTAATACGCATTACACTGTTCGCGAGTTTTGAAAAAAAAAAGGTTCTGAAATCTTTTTCTCACCCAGGTATATTGAAGAAGCGCAGATTTCCTTGGTCTCCTGCGTTATATCCCATCACAGGAAGCCCACTTTGATTCTGGGAAAAGAAACGGCTGAAAAAAAAAATGAGACGAATTCATTTCGAGCATCTTATGCATCTTTTTCATCAGATTCAAGGCAGCAAACAATGGTCACGCGGGAAACTTGGTGGTGTCCTGAAGGGCAATGCATTGGAATCCAGGTTGAGAGGTCTTCGTTTCGCCAAGATACTTTTCTCTCTCTACTCAGGGGTAGAAATGGGTGACAGCAAACTGTCAGAAAACTTTATGAAATGTTGAGAGGCATCATAGTCAAGGAGCAAACAAGGGAAAACAGACAAACTAAACAAGACGAGAAATTTTATATAGAATGTGGGAGATATGAGTTTTTTTTTTCTCAGCTGGGATTTTTGTACAAAGGAGAAAAAAGATGAATCATATGGCGACAGCAAAAAATTGGCTTACCTTCCTGTGGAGGATGCCCACTGAATTCCATTTTCTGCATAATTATACAAAGTGAAGGAATGCTGCCCATCAGTGGCAAGTACGAGCTGGAACGTGTTCGTCTGAAAACGCAAAATAAGAATACAGCAGCTGGAGGTTAATCATTCAGTTGGGTATGACAAAATACCATAACACTCCTGAATTGTCTTTGAAATCAAATCATTGTTATTGAATAGAAACGCATCTTGGGTGACACATACTGCAGTTTTGTCGTGATTATAAAATAGGTTTGCAGGTTTATCTGAATTTGTCAATGCCAGTTACGTCGAGTAACAGAGAAAGATTACATTTACACTTTATGAATAAAACACTTCTTACCAGGTTAACTGTTGGATAGGTACTGGGATACAGTCGTTCCCAGGTCACCTTCAACACCCAGCTCGCGTTAAAATTTGGAATGCTGGGACTTGTTTGATATTTCTGTACGTCTTTGTTGACTCGGTCAAAGATCTCTCTTGCATGGTTAGATGATACATCACCCAAAATGTTCTTACTGTAGATTTGATAGAATAACTGTGACGCCTGGCTCGTATCGGAGATTTGAAAAGGATGGTGACTGATAGAGCTCCAGAATGGCGCTAAGATAAAATACCGCTGAAATCTGTTAGAACCAGAGGCTCGGATTCCTGGAAACCGTTCGGGCCAGCTGATCACGGTTCGGGTAATGAAGCGTAACAATCCATTTCGACAAATCTGTTGGTAAGAATAAAAATTATAATGAATAGTTTTGCTCCCAGCCTCACTTTCTTTATCCACTTGAAATATATCAGGAGCGTTATGAAAGCCATGTGTGAACATTGCTGACCTCCTCTAGAAAATGACGCAAAATGGAAGAAGTTTGCATTTCTTTTTTTAAACATTAACATACTAAGCGACAACAGCATATGATATTAAGGTAAAGTTTTCCTCGGCAAATAAATCTTAACAAAGAAAAAAAAGTTCCACACCACTTACAGCAACTTTGTTGTGCTGCTTGACGAAGAATGGCAATCCCTGACCAGGAATGTTAACCTGTTGGCAGTAAGATCTGAACAGATTAAACGACGGCAGTTTTGTGTCACCAACGAGGCTTCCATACGGATACAATCGAGCTGCAGGTACACAATAGAAAGAAAACGAGAATCAGAGAAGTATTTTTTTCAGTGGTAGGTTACATTACGATTTAAAAGCCAATAATGCCAGACACTTCTCGTGGGAGGCGCGGTGGCCAGATATCCCTCATGGGAGGTGCCGTAGCCTAGCCAATTAGATTTGTGAAACTTACGGGGACACGGCTCAATGAAACAGTCTCTAGTCTCATTACTCGGACCCACGCAGTCACGGCCCCCATTGGATGGTGGCGGATTGATGCAGGACCGGTACCGAGTTTGAGATCCATTTCCGCAAGTCTCATTGCAGGGTCCCCATATTGTCCATTCAGTGTAATTTCCGTCAACTGAAAAAGTCAATGACATGAACAAATCAATTTATTCATGAATGCTTTGGAGTGATATCCTCAACATGAGGACTTGTTTGTTGTGCATCATGGCTTTAAAAACAGAACAAAAGAAACCATGTAACGTTTTTCTCGTGCTCTACTCGGAATTTAGATCGTTTGCAATTGACTGCGATCCCCGATGTACACTGACCTCATATCATTCGCGAGATAAACCATAAAAAATTAACTTAAGTCCTGCAGGCCATTACACAAGCATTGCACGATAAAATTTCAGCTTTAAAATATGAAGCAGAGATAGGAAATCTTTAGCACTGGTATGCTCGTTTTCAACTCCTCCGAATTCAAGAAAGCGTAACGATGACATAACGGAGGTAACTCGTAACATTTATTGGGAAGCTAAGACTATATGACTGAAAGTCTGGCGATTGTGAAATTGTTACCAGAATGATAATTTTTGGTTCACAGATTTAAATTCCCTTATTGCGAAAAAGTTTCAGTTTTCCAATCCCTTAATTTCTTTCTCCGTCCTGAAAGTCCCACCAACAACTTGAGCTTGCAACAATTTGTAGAAATGAATTCAGTCCGAAATGTACCTGGGCATGGTACTTCGTAGCATTCTCTCGATTCATTTCTCGGCCCAATGCAATCTTGTCCACCATAAGCCGGTGAGGGATTGGTACAGTTCCGCACGCGAATCTGAGTACCATTTCCGCAAGTCTTACTGCATCTGCCCCAGTCTCCCCACTCGGTGAAATTTCCATCAACTGAAAGAGGCCAAGAATTATATTGTAAAAAATTTAAATCATCTGTAAAAGTCTGACTTGAAGTAGCAAGTTACAATCCTACTTTTTTTCTATCCGTTTCAATAGGAGAAGAATCCTTTAAGGCGACAAGAAAAAACAACTAGATTATACCTCACGCCAGACGTGTGGCTTCTCCGGAGAGAGTGGTTTGAATACCGTCGCAGCCTCAATTTTTACAGGTTTGTTTTTCCCTCATTTCCAAAATCGAAAGTTACCTGTTAGGTTCGTTTCCCTAATCAACAATGTAAGTGTTACCAATTATAATGATCAGTCGGTTTTTGTTCTCGACTTATAAGGAAATATGACTGAAATTCACATGTCAACCTGGACATGGTCCATCAAAGCAATCTCGAGTCTCGTTCCGAGGTCCTTCGCAGTCTCTTCCTCCGTTTTGTGGAGGAGGATTGGTACAGTTTCTGTAACGACTCTGGGTTCCATTTCCACAAGTCAGGCTGCAGGAAGTCCAAGGTGACCACTCCGTAAAGTTTCCGTCAACTGAAGAGAGTCAAGATAAGATGAAATTTAACCGAAGTACAACGGGAAGTCAGGATCTTTTCTTTCCGGCTGCTCAAATTAAGTTTTTAAAAATATTTTAGCTACCAATTGGTCTATAGAAACGTGGGAAAAGCACAATTTACTTTTGTGGTATATAAGATAAAAACAGTTATCTACTGGCCCTGTTTTTGCATAGAAGGAAGATATCAATTGAAACATTCCTTCTTACCCACACAAAATGTTAGTTCACATTCCCTGGTCTCCATTCTGGACCCAATGCAGTCTCGGCCACCATGAGACGGAGGAGGATCGGTACAGCTTCTGTAACGTATCTGTACTCCTCGACCGCACGTTAAAGAACACGCACTCCAATTCTCCCACTCACTGAAGTTACCATTGACTGGTCGTTGAACAAAATAATATCAGTAAAAACAAGTTTGCATTAATGGACCAACTTTTTCTTTACAAAAGCAACTTCGAACCCCCAGTGGCCTTAACAACTCTTAGTGTTAACGCATAAAAACTATGATTTCATTGTCCTACTATCAATATTAAATCTTATTCGCTCATTAAAATTGCATTACACTTAGTTTTTGTCAGAATAAACCCAGGATAATCGAGCAGTAGCTTCTGATAAACGAGGACACATTCGGCAAAGGACATATTTTAAACCTCTTTATCTTTTAAACGCGCCCTTTACCTGGGCAAGATGTCAAGTTGCATGGCCGTGTCTCGTTCCTAGGTCCCTCGCAATCTTGGCCATTGTTGATCGGTGGTGGATTTGTGCAGTTCCTGAATCGTATCTGAGTTCCAGGCCCACAAGACGTGCTGCATTGACCCCAAGGACCCCAGTTTGTAAAGTTTCCATCGGCTGCATATAAAGCATGAAAAAATCTTTGAACGAAGGAATGTGTCTCTCTAAATCTGAACAACTTACAAATAATTTAGGCTAAAATTTCTTAAATTGCTCAAGCAGGAAATGACCTAGAATATCATAATGCTGTACACAACAACCGACGGAAGAAAGAAAAACAATTATGACAAAAGCAAGAGCAGCAACAGTACAAGGACAAAGTTTTACACATTGCCTAAATTTTGACGCTTTGAACTCGAAATGTGCTTTCAAAGAAAAACACCTCCCCTCTCAGAGCCCGCAATTCCTTAAGTCAGCGTCATATATGGGAAATTATCATGAACATTACCGTATGTATGTAAAGTATACGACACAATATGTGTTGTGTAGATAAGAATTCCCCATACATGACATGCCCAGGTAAGTCAGCACCATAACCGCTGACCTCAAGATTCGCAAGGTCCAGCAAGAAGAACGTGGAGAGATGATTCTAATACAAGAGCCATGAATGACGGAAAATGTAATCTGGATCAAGAATTTGCGTACCTGTAAATTCTACTCCCAGAACTTCGCTTATGTTTTGAGCAAAATTTTCGAATATCGCGTAAAGGACTTCTCTGTCTATCGTAACGTGCTGATTTACACCAGCCTTCAGACGTACGTAAAATCTTAGCTCTAGGGGGCTGTTTACAACGGGAAATCCAGGAAGTATGTTTATGAGATCCACGTCAGACGGTAAAGAACTGGTGGTAGAATATACGAAATTAAAAAGAGATTTCTATTTCAGAAAGCAAATGGCGATGATAAAGAATATTTTACAATGCACCTTAACGAAAAAAAAGGGGTAATCGGATAAGTGTAGAGGCTTTGGATCAATGTCAGTATCTGGGCAACTGTACACCTTCCCTCTTCCCCCTTCCCCAACCCAACAACAGTCGACTGATAACAAGTTAGGTTTAATGTTTTGTCAGCGGAGGAGTAGGCGTGTAGTTGTTTAGATACTGACAATGATATCCGAGGTTTTCAAGGCAAAACATAATCGGAGGCAAAAGAGGGGGGGGAGGCGCAAGTGGTTCCAAATTATTTTGAGGCCGGTGTGAAAACGGTCTGCACAGAGGAGCATGACTCTTTGTCGTAAGTTTGTGTCGGTGACACCCCCCTTCCCTCACCACCACCTTTTTACTACCTCGCCCTCTTCCAAAATTGATTTTAAGCTTCCCGCTGTCCCATCAAAATTCAGTCGCATTTATCAATGTCACTGATTGTCGAGACAGGACCGAATTTGACACCTGAAGGCACTGCTGACTTTGACTGTCTCATTCCTCTATTATATTTACCCTTAATTTTATATTAGTAAACGTTAGCATTTGAACTTGCTAGAGACCAGAGAACACATCAAATTTCACTTGACAATCAACTAAGATTGGTGAAAACTCATATTTACTTACCGGTTGGCACATATTCCCATCTGAGCATTGCAAAAGTCAGTGACAAAATTGGCAAGTAGTAGTCTAAATTCATCTTCTCTTCGGCACCACTGCAATGATATTTGCAAAGTGAACGACTGATATTTCGTTTTGCCATATTAAATAATACAGTAAAGAACCTCCCCTGAGGGGAAACGCCTAAGCAGACGCCACCACACACCAAAGACTCTCTGTAGAAATGCATTTTTTGATTTAGGACCACAGTTTGCGCTTTGTGAATCATGGCGCCCATCATTAATTGACTCGTAAAGAAAACATATCTCATCAAATTTAAGAGAATGAGATAGAGAGATGTCTTTCTCTTGTCTTCACCAGTTAAATGATCTCCCAGGCATTAGCTGTAAGAGATCGACCTGGTTAAATATCGATGCAAGCTAAGTCCCCATCAACCCTTTACACCCTAACATCAGTAAAGGTATTCTCCATACCGCTCTCTATACATTGCTCTAAGGTGCTGACAAGGAGAACTTGTGTAACAATCAACAACTTCTTAAGCTGCTGATAATTTCTTTATTCTCATGACCTTACTGCATGGTTGAGGGGTGATATTGTAAGGAGAAATTAGATGCTAATCACTCGAAGGGTTTAAAGGGTTAAACTTGACAAACCTCTTGAAGAGTAACATTCAAAATGACTATGGAAATAGTATTGTTGATCTCCTCCTGGTTGGGTGTCCTGCGGTTTGGTAAACTACAGGCTGGTGTTGTTGGTAATGGTACTACAGAAGATCGTGGAAGAATGTGGAAAATGAAGTTAAAATCTCCATTGTTACTCAGTATTGACGTGAAGATAAATGCTACGCAAGGAAAAAACACTAAGGGCTTAATAGGCTTCATCTCGGAAAATGGTAGTATTACTGAAAATTAAACCTTTGTACATGTTCTGCGTAATGCGGTTCTCTCTCATTTCCAATTCCTTAATTCTTGGGCGAACGATCCATTCGTGTTTACCCGAATCCTTGAAAAGGGCATCTTAGTTTGTAGGACTCTCCGTACCTGGAGAAGCTCCTAAATTACATGCCAGTGTCTCGTTACTAAGTCCCTGGCAGTCTTGTCCACCATTGATCGGTGGTGGATTGGTACAGTTCTAAATCGCATCTGAGTACCAGGCCTTTTGCCAGAGCGAATGATTCACTCTGACTCTGACGGTGGCCAATTTACGTTATTAACTCACATGGTAATACTCTATTACCCTCTGTGTTACCTGAAGTTGAATTTGGATTGCCAGTGGTTGTAGATGGAAGTGCTGTTGTAGTCGGTGGCTCTGTTGAAATAGGATATGAAAAACATCTTGTGAATATCATATTATGAAAAAAAAGCCCGAGATACTGCATGCCATCTTGCAAGTCATTCCTTCACAAGTTCAAAGGATAAAAGTACTTTTAGAGCAAAAAAGGCTAAGTAACCAGTGAAACAAGTTTACGAGTGACACGGTAAACTCTAAAATGCATGAATGGTGGTGTGTTTGGTTTGAATTATGTATGTTATTGGCAAAGACTTTGTCTTCGCATTCGAGGACAATTCACAAACCTGTCGGCCTCAGGCGTGGCACATTTCTAGTAAATCTCCCTCTTGTATTTCCTCGTGGGCTATACCGAGCTACAAAATAATGGTATCCATCGCCGGAAGCCACCGCCATACCCAGCTCAGATGTACTTCTCCAAATCAGCTGTGTAAAATGCAGCCACGGTTCAGATGAGTTGATGGGCGCGCCCGTGTCGAAATTGTAGTTTGTAATCTCATTATACCATTCTGTCACAATCTGACTGCAGAGGACACAGGATGTTTGCCTTGAATTGCTACAAATGGGTTGTGACGGGGCGGTGAAAACGAAGCCAAGGTTTTCTCCAAGATTTTTGCTGTCTAAGACGTCGACCTCATGAAGTAGAGATCGGTTCTGTAAAAGAAACTGGGACCAGTTCCGTGCCCCTTCAGCAAGTTCTGTATTCCAAGTTAAAGGCCCAACGGCTGCATGCAATAATCGAAAATTATTGTGCGTGTCCAGACAATCTTGCTCAAAGAAGGACAAGCCTGCCAATCAGAGAATTTAGCACATTTTACCTACAGAACGAATACTCTTTTCAAGATTCGGCGATGGCCAGTAAGTCGTAAACGCCACTTCATTTTTTGTCTTTGGTAGGAAACATGGTGGAACTAATCCTGACGGGGGCTATACCCTTTTAATTCATATCTTTTAGAGAGCCGTTATCTGTGTCAAAACGGAGTTGAAGCCAGTATCTATTTTTTTATACCGATGGTAGATATGAGGGACACAAGCACAACGGAAATTTAAGGAGGAAGAGTCGGTGGGAAAGTCTGGCTTGAAAGCCTGAGGAAAGTACGCACTTTAAGTCGAGATTTATTCTGCTAGTCCTAGTTTCCCCATCAGACCGTGCGAAACTTGGGAATGACTCTTAACCATCTTTGCAAAGTAATTTCACCATTGTACATACAACGAACGCTCTGATTAATTGAAATATCGACTGGAATTATGTTGTACCATTGCATTCTGATGATTTCATGGTGTAACAGGAGTATGGAATGTTGCTATTCGTTGCTGATGACCAATTAATGAGAAAGCCGAAATTTAGTAAGGGTTCACTTTAACTCGTGCAGTGTAACGACACCATTCCATAAGCAGAGCTCGCGTCATATAACCAATGCAAAATTACTTAAAAGATATCAATTTAAATTTATCTTGTTTTTCACTATACTTTGATGACCTTCAGACACGACATATTAGCTTAATAACAAGGTACTAGAGCCTTAATTTGTGTTAACTACACACAATTACTTTCAGATATACTAGTAACTAAGGGACTGGTAATTCAAACGAAGTCTAACCAAGACTCCACAGTTTTAGAAAAATCTATGAACTTAGAGAAATCTGCCTTAGTCGTGAAAGGGAAATGTTAAATACGTTTTCTTTCAAAAGAAGGCGAGAGTAACTCAGCGTGATCGTGGTGAGCGGCGAAAGTCTGTCGGTCTTTAAAAAATAAAGAAGTATCAATAACATGCAAGTCGGGGCATAGTCGGAGGCTTAACGTGTCATGACCAATTTCGCGCAAAAAAAATGTTTGATGATTATGAAAGAGGATATTCTGAATAAACTTCACAGGGTACTCACCACCGGTCGTTGTGGATTCATATTTTGCTTCAAATCCACGATCAACCGTTTGTCCAGGGTGGAACATCACAAACATTTGGTTTCCACTCGACAACTGAGACTCATTCCAAGACGACCCCTGGCAAAATCGCCCCAGCAAAGGCGAACTTGTCGACCCACCATCATAAAGCTCCACATAAGAACAAGAATCCGAACAATGATTGGCTGAACACTCACTTAAGACAAAATCAATAAAAGTAAACTTTACAATTTTGTCAGCTGGCGCGGTAATGTTCCAGGTACAATTTCTGGACGCAGTGTAGTTACTCTTTGGGTAGTTTGTGCTGCTTATTTTCCCGCCGCCTGAGAGAGGAATTGCCTCCTTGGGACAAACTGTAATCAATGAAAAAGGAGCATGTGATTGTGGGAGAATAAGTCTAGGATGTTCCGGGCGTTCAGTTGGTAGAACGCAGTGCCATATTGAACAGCGCGAGAGTGGCAGAGGAGTGAAAAAACGAGGGAGGGGTGGGTCATGTTGTGAAATCAACTTCTTCATTTCCCGACCAGACCCAAACCTCACTCTCTTTTTCATTACGCCGCTACTATTGTGCCCTTAGCTATTTCGTTCTGTTTTACGAACTAAAACGATTGGAACAGGCCAGAATAAACATGGATTCGTGACAGATATATGATTTCTTTCACAGATGCTGTCAAAATGTGCATGGTAAGAACAAAAGAGTGGTACACGAAGCGCTGCCAAGTGTCATTGATGACCACAGTGTGACATCATCTGGTATCTCTTCCTGAACAGACACGCGGCAACGTGGAATCTGATTGTTTCATATAAGATGAAGAAGCAAATTGTTGTAAGTGGTGAAGTCATTTATGCCTCTGTTCTCCAATAGGTGATAAATAACAACCAATCAAAATGCTTATCAAATGCTTGTGACCAATGGTCAAAATCTATACAGACCAAAACGGCTCAAAACCATACTATTTAGGCTGATACATTCCAATGTGGCTTTTATAAGGGAGTAGCCCCAAGGCAAGAACATGAATATTTGAAACTCAATACGGTGACCAATTTACATTATCAACTCAGTTGATGAAACCAAATTATCTTGTTATACTCCTCGAACGACGGAGCATCACAATTTCTTTGGAAGCTTACCACCTTATTCAATTAAGGTTGGCATGGCTCCCCAGTACATCA